TCTACGCTAGCCGGGGTTTTCGCCTTTGTCAAACTAGGCTGGGCCAAATGGCACGCTCAACCGTGTAACTGATGGAGCAAGTTTCATGCTGTTTAGGAGTCCGAATTGTGGGTCGTCTGGATGCTGACCCTTGAGAATTCAGCTCATTGAGCACAGCAATAGTGACGGATAACAAAATGACCAACCAAACTAGGAGGACGTCTTCTAGAGAACAGAACTCTTATCAACACAAGCTTAACAATGATCGCCACCTACACAAAGGCGCACGTCATCCCAGCTGCACACCGATGATGTTACTTTGACGGGTAACGTGGTGTTTGCAACTTAACCGTCGGACTGAGTGAGAAACTCAGTCATCAACTCTACTGCCCGAGCTACGATCAAACCTCACTTAATCCAGGGATGTACAGGCGTGCTTGCATCTTTCTATCGTTGTACTTTGCCACTGTAGTAAAAACGGATGAGCGAAACCCAAGAGAATCGTAGACAGTTTGCCACATATTTTAACCTACGTCTGTGACGAGTATGGAATACTGAATGACCATCCGCACTCGAGTACTAAACTGAGGGTAATGGGAGGTCCTCATACAACTGATCTGATCTGCTGAGTGCAGAACGTGGTTGTGTTCTGACCATCTTTTCCTGAGTTTTTACCCTGGACCTGCAGGTTGCCGACCTTTTAATCCGAAGGTCCTACAGATTCAACTGTAGGAGAGGATGTTGATCAACTCATTTTGTTTGGAGCGAATCTCCTTCTTAATGGCCGTAGGTGCCACCGATGAAAATTGATTGTTCCGTAGACGATGGATGTTATAGTGGATATTGTGATCGCACGCCTTTACAGCCATCATGAGGCTGGGGTGATATCGCGAAGCGAGATGAGGCGGGAGGTTAGCGTACAAAAAATAAGGATTTCTGAACATGCTTCTTGCTCGCCTGACAACCAGGTTAAGGGTTGGTGATTGTAAGTGCGTGGTGAACGTTGCGCTCGATTTGATGTAATGCCTAGGTAGGCTTAAAACTGGGTAGCAACGAAATCACACTGTTTGCGTCAAGCTAGCATGTTTTCGAATTGAGGCTCTGCTCAGTGATAGTTCACATACTGTGAAAACGCCTTCCACACATGCTGTACGAAGGGATGTGACACAATCTTTTTCGAACCATAATTTGATGGAAGACAAAACGACAGACGATAGTGTACGTGTTTATATTTACTTGAAAGCAACTGTAACAACCGAAATGGTTCATTAGGCGACCAATGAGCTCACATTTGTTTTTTCCAGCTTTTCGGAATGATCGAATCATTCCTAGACGTAATGGACTGTAGTTAAATGCTCAGCTCACTTCTGGCTGGAAGAGATAGTTGATTCTTTTTCATGCAGGTTGCATGAGAAGAAAGTCGCAAACTACCACTTCCCGTTTTGTCCTGTTTAGGGCCTTTAGGAAGACGGTTGCCCCAAAGTAAAGGTGACGCCCCTCTGAACCAAACAGCGGTTTGGTCGGATGTTTACTTTTGAGTTCATATACATGATGAAGAAACCTAGGTGAAGACTCAGTTTTAGTTTTGAAACAGAAACACCTCGGGTAGTAGACCCCTAAAGACAGTTTTCCACGACCATTTATGCAGAGGAACTATACATAACCTACACGATATAAATTCTGGACAAGACCTACAAAGAATTTGAATAAAGTAAGCAGCTGTACTCCGCATTAGTAGTCTTTTTTCGTGACCTTAGCTAGGAACAAACGTTCACTAAAAGTAAAATAATAGAATCAGCCACTGATCCTTTGAAACAGATGTTTAACCAGATGACTTGATAAACCAACCTGATAACGTTCCCGACATGGTAGTTCATTCGGAAGATCAAGACGGTTAACTGAAAGTTTGATTTTCACCTGGTTGTAGGTACAAACACGAATTCTGGTTGATTAAATTTATTTTAAAGTAATCTTTACTTTTTTAGATGCATGTATATGTATACATTCCGTACTCGTGATCCCCAAAGCGTATTCTTACGCTCAGCGAGAAGCCGGAGCGGACATCAGCTCAAGGCCACTCAGACGTCAGCGAATACAATTTGCGTGAGTGACAGATATCTTATTAAGACGCCAATATTATCTCGTGAATGAATGAACAACAAGGAAACAGAAAAGATGACAAATTCTCACACGTGCAAACCAAGATACGCATGTGATTTTTCTCATCTGGAACCGCGTGCATGTTGGGGCTTGGTTGCAGTGTACAAAGTGTGAAACGCGACCAAACCACCTGCTCGAGACTTTCTCACGTATGCCTTAATTAACTCAATGTGTCCATCATTCGTTTAAATGAAAAAGCTAAAAATTTACTGTTGAACCATCTTTTAGTTCAGTGCATTTGGTAGTTTCGTTTTTTGGTCAGCGGATTGATATACAACTTATAAGGCCATGTTGAACAACTGCAGATCAATAGCTGTCATCGGTGGTTCTTGTGTGCAGTACTACGCCACGTGACCAATCTGTTCATATTTATCATAAAGAATCTATCCAAATAATAATTCAAGCGGGTTCTAGGTGAGTCTCCTGTCGAAGCCAAATTAGTATGCAAATGAGTGTATTTCAGTAGGCAGTGACGTACTATTTTTACAAAAGTTACTAACCAACTAGATTGCTTTTTCTAGATATTTCCCAGGGAGAAATTTTCTATAATTTGAGAGTACTTAGTAGTAAATTCCGTCTGATTTAAATGAAAACACTGTTGCCTCCTTTTCTTTCCAAATGTCTTGCGATACGTTCTCAAGTATTCCTTGAGATAGAGTGGTGATTTGTCGGGTGTGTTCGGGTGCATTTATGGGGCACCAACGGTATCTTCTTTTTTGGTGACAAAACGTTTGTAAGCCAGTTACCAAACTCGTCAAACAAATCAATAGTCACTTGATCAACACCCTACATTTTTACGGAACACTAGTGTTTAACTCCGAATTCCGACGCATGATGCATGAATTTGACTGAGGTCTGTAGTAAGCCTTTCCTGAAGGATCTAACTATTCTAGGTTTAAAAGCAAACCAGTGTCCATCCGTTCCAGCCTCTGAGCGCACACATTGATACGTTCAGTGCACTCAATTTACACAGCTTTCATACTGATGGTTTTTCTCACTTGATAAACATTGCTCAACCACACAACCACTAACCCACAACTACGCACTGATGATGTCACCTCGATTGGTGATGAAACGTTTGCAACCAAATTGCTCAGCTCAGCGAACAAGCCAAAGACAAACATTGCTCTGTTTTAGCTTAATAGAAGGGAGTCAACTGAAAGCAAAATCTGATTGCGACGGACACTACTTTGAGCATTCATTATGTGGCTTGTGGACTAAACGTTCCTTCGGAAAAATAACTCTATCTGCAGTTTATTACACGGCGCTACGGGAAAAGAGTTTAAGATAACGCAAATGTGGCACGCTTTATAATCAGGTAAGTTTAGCACATGGAAAACCCATTTTTAGAGGAGTTATTCGAACACTGTGGAGCAAGTGAACATTGTTATAACATTCTGTTAAACCAAGCCAAGTGCGTTCTCTTCGAAAAGTAAAGACAAAAGAACTTCTTGATATTTTGATTTGTCAGCCATCGTAGGTCCAGAATAGAGCTGCCCCTTATCAGCCTCCGAGTGCACTTGCCCACATCCGACTTGGTTGGACGCACCACATTCTTCTAGATACCATTACGTATGCAAAACAAAACCATTAACCCGTCGCTACGTCCCCTAACAACGCAATGGTAATGAAAAGTTTGCACTCAGATCGCCAACTCCGGGAACAAACTGAGGACCACAAACGCCTAGCGTCCTTCTGTAATGCACGCAATGTATACCACATTCTTACGAGGAACTAAAATCGTCCTAGTGCACAATAACCTTGACAGTCACTGAATTTCAGGATATGATTAAAGTAGACAGACGTACACAACAGCAACGCCAACCAAACCATACTTTAGTATGATCCGTTTTTTCTTGATAACGTAGAGTTATTGCTTTCCTGAATGGATAATAGACTCGCTTTTCTCCTTTTAGTACGAACTGAAAAATGGACCTAAGATCTTAAGCATAGCTATTTAATCTACTATGACTGCCACATTCACTTAACGTATCCGTAAACATCAAAAGTGCTTTCACAAACCAGTTAGAAGTTTGACTTAGTTTCTGACTTGAATCTCTTTTGAAAGTGCCAACTGTGCGATGGAATAATTTCACCTACTGTCTACCTTAGAGAGGAAAATTCGAAGTCAAATGTGGCCAAATGTGAATTCTTGCGTTAGGAGTTCTAATTGCGAGATCAAAAAGGTGTGATGTCAGTTAAAGGGTGTGAAGTTTGGCATAAATCCAAAAGGCATCGATGGGCTTAGTACGGATTCAACGCAAAAGATTGCATTTGATTACGGAGACGTCTTTTATAATTAAAAACTGCCAGAGGACCTCATGATCGATGGTTCTGAACGTTTTTCAATTCAGATGAGGCGACAGTATCCACAAAGTCTGACAAAAAATGTGATGCGTCTTGAAATGCAATTCATAGTTAGCGTTTGCGAATTCGCGAAACATGTTACCTGTGAGGGCTTGCATAGGGCAAAGGCGGTTCGACTGACAATTTTATAATCTATAGACAGCTCAATTTAGCTTTCATAAAACGTAATCATAACAGAGTGCCAATGCTGCTCAGTTCACTTTCTGAAAATTTATGTTACGCATCGATGTTTTGTTACTGAAAAAATCGACGATACTGGTACTTTCTCTGAAACAAAATCCTTCAGTGTGGACTTCTATATTGCCAGTAGTTAGTCCCAAAATAACTTGTTTGACTGTAGTTCTACTCAGTAGTGGACGGTTGATCACATGCATATAGCTTATTTGCAGGGAACACGGATAGAATGCAAATATATTCAGTCTGCAATTAAGTTTCTATGTTGAAGTGAAACAGTCTGTGCTGAAAAGCCAAAAAAACTGTCTGGCTGCAGGTTTTTATTCTTCATCACCATCATTATCATCATCATCATCATCAGCAGCAGCAGCAGCAGCAGCAGCAGCAGCAGCAGCAGCAGCAGCAGCAGCAGCAGCAGCAGCAGCAGCAGCAGCAGCAGCAGCAGCAGCAGCAGCAGCAGCAGCAGCAGCAGCAGCAGCAGCAGCAGCAGCAGCAGCAGCAGCAGCAGCAGCAGCAGCAGCAGCAGCAGCAGCAGCAGCAGCAGCAGCAGCAACAAGCCTACCGTGAACTCGAAACGGCGAATTTCAGATTAGATAAACGTAGCATCGGCCGGTTAGTAATGAGTAACCAGCGCTGCGGCTCGCTTGCACTTAGAAAGAAAATAACGCCCTGATCACTGTGCACACCAGCCTTTGGTAGATTCCCACGCAACTGTTTTCTATTTGAGTTGTCAGTTTAGGTTTTAGGATGTTTCATTTTCGTATAGATTTCACGAACGTTTTTCAAATAAAAGGCCGGTGTTATCACATTTTTAAGTTACTTAACTGCACGTTTGTTGGAATTGAAGAAGATGACACTTATTATCTGAGTTAGACACAATTTAACTGGTATTTACGCTTCATCGTTTTGTTGTCGTGGTAAAAGCTTCCTTATTGACTGGGAAACGATGCAAATTTCCCCGTGGCTATTTTAATCGTGTGGCATTACCACTACGTTGATTCTGAGTAGACAACCTGAAACTCTCGTCGTGAATGAATTTTAAAACAAAATCGCATCTTTGTTTGATTGATTTGTCTGATCTGCTGTTGAAACCAGATGCATCAGCATGATTGACTTGCTGGAGTGAGCTGCTGATATTTATCAGACATCTACCCAAGAGGAATTTTGTTCGTGCGATAGCTGTTAACCTAACCGATACAGACGATAAATATCACGCTTTGTTAAAGCATAGAAATCAGAAGCGAGAATTTTAACCACAAAAATTACAAAGGAAGATAAAATAGAATATAATTGCTAACCTCCTGGATGATTGGGGAAGAAGATGAGTGAGACGAAGATTAGTTCAAGTTTTCCAGGTACTTGGGACAAAATCATCAGATTAGAGGGGTGTGGGTCTGTACATTAGTTTCATGGAAAAAGAAAAATTATGATTTCTGGGAGCATTGTGCAAGGTTTTCTATCACTAATCTGCTGACCTGTAAGCCATAATCTTGTCCCGTTGGATGGTGAGGAATGTAGTGGATGAGGTTTTATTCTTAATCGCGGTTGCTCTGTTAGAGGACGCAAACTGACCTATAGGCCACTTGGCATTACAGTCCGTCGCAGTACTTTGCCTGAACCCAGTTTGTCGGCTGTATTCACGGTGAATGCAAGAATTCCTCAGCGATGGTCCCAGGATCAATATAATGCACACTTATAACAGAGGAAGCCTTCCAGCGAACGGCAATGTAAACCGATTGAAAGGAAATTTTCAAATGATGTTATCTTGGAAGCCTTGCAAAATTATGCTGTTTTCTGAGTGCAGTACCAGGTCAATATGTAGTTTACTGTACATCCGTTATCAAGGTGTCATGCAAAGTTTGACCGTTGTCCTGCACCCCCGGTAGGTAGCTGACCTTCTGATATTGGCAAAGGGTACTGCGAAACACTGAATTTCGTGCGGTCACGTCGATACTCGGCATCCATTGCATGCAGGCGAACACATGTTGTACGATACAATCAGATGCTAATGGATAAAATTACGCCCAGAAGATGTCGAAAGTTTCCACTTTGCCGCCTATAACAATGAAAACATTTAAGTTATTCTCTCCGGAACAGTGGTGGCTCCCATGAACATCCTCACTTAGGCTCATTCTGATTAGTAAGATCAACTTGTCAATGCTTAGTTGGAATTCATGGTCTGAATCAACAGCAATTTTCACTCACTTGGTTGCTCCAGTTTTTCGGTAGACCAATATATATTCTTGGGTTATAGAAGCGGGAAGAACCCTAGAAAGCAAAATAATATACATTCATCAGTGAATCATCGAACGGCGCGTCATCCTCGAGATTTGTGCTTAGTAGGGGACCACTTTTGAACCGTGTCTTCAGATGTGAAGCGTTGAAAATACTTCTTTGGTCATGTCAGAAGTAACTCTTTTTGAACATTTGTAGCTTCCAAATAGCGAATGAATTTAGGGGGGGCTTATTACCGACTGGTTGGTTACCCTCCTCTGCCATGGGCTCAGTTGCCTTAGTTTGAATGACTTGCCCTAGTTCACCATTTTTTATTAGAAGTTCCCAGAGAGCCTAGAGTTTTTCATTCGGATTATCATTTATGCTGTTCCGAAAGACCCTATATACCAAGTATTCCAGCTACGAATAGACGGCCTGATATAACCTTCCAAACCTCTGAGAGTGTTAATATGGAACTGGGCACTGATTGCCAATTCAGATCTCTTCATTTCAAACTTGGCAGCTTTAAGCTTCTCTCAAGGCTACCTTACTTTCTGACCCCCCCTGTTTTTACACGAGAGGCCAGATGCAGGATTTTCTGCTATAAAATAGGTAGATTACATCAAACCGATGACCTGGTTGCCCCAAACTGGTTTTATGGACTATTCGGCCGGTCTGAACTTGTATCCCCATCAAGTTGACTAGTCCTTTGAAGAGTGTATACAAATCTTTCGAACCAGCAATTTCAAACTAATTCTGTTTAGGTTGCTATCTGGCCTCCAAACTGTACCCACTGGTGCCTTCACTCTGAGACAGCGATTTATACTATTCTAGTGGGGGCAGATAAATAAATGGAATGGAACGAGTCTTAGGGTGAAAGGTAGAACAACTAAAGATGAGTTGTGGAGGGGGGCTGGAAAACCACGCCGACTGGCATTAGGGGATGAATCTGAAATAGGTTACGTAATCTGTAAAAAAGCTCTTTGCTTCATTTAACGGCAATAGTTGAATAGGAATCAGCCTACGTTTTGTCAGTGCACGTTGTCAAAAAACTACTTAGGAACCTTCCAGCCTGATTCACTTACTGAGATTTAGTGTTAGACGCAGTTAGACAAAGGTACTAACTATATCTATGTGAAGTAGCTTTGTTTATAGTTGGTTGAACTTGCCAGACAGCTTGCGCCCGCCCAAATGTGGGCTGTGAGATGTGTCGGTGTGATTTCTACACAACCTCCCGCAGTAATTGTTCAGACGAGACAACAGTCTATTCCACAGGCAAGTAAACGTTAATTACTGCTATCGACTGAGAAATTTGCTGTTGTGTATGAGCTGTCAGAGAACGGAGCACTCGATATGCTCCGAAGAATAACGGGTTCTGTCATGAGGAACATATTTCGGACTTTCCTGAAAATTAGGCTTACCGTGATCTCGCGTGATCGTCAAGATTAGAATCAATAGTAATCAACATTGTCTGCGAATGTCACAAGCTTAAGGTTCTCTGGTTTGTTTTCCCCATGATTCGGCCGATGCTAAGAGTTCCTGAACTGAGGAAAACGGACCATTCCTCAAAATGGGAGTTGGTGAGATGAGAACGCCAGTTTGATAGTGATATCGATTACTGCCGGTTGCGTGAATTTGGTACGTCTCCGATGCCAGCTGCCAAATGTGTGCGATCAGCGAACATTACACTCACGGGCCCAAAAAGCACATTCAAACAACTTAGTCCGGATCGGTCACAAAATCGCAGATGAACTTAAAGAAACTCATATTCACAAGGTTTATCATCTTTAATTTGGAAGTCCAGTGACACCGTTTAAAGCTATTCAATTTAATTCAAACTCTTTGGACATTTTTTCGCTCTCGTGTGAAATATCTTTTTGTGGTTATTTTGGACTGGATGACTACGCAAATATGAGAAAAGTATCCATCAAAGCTACCACTAGTCAAAGAACTAGGAGTTTGCTGTAAACCTGGTTCATTTATGCTTGGGCGGCCAGCCCAAAACACCGGAAAAAATGAGATAGACCGACAAGTAAGCGGATGTGACAAGCCGGCGAACAGACAGCATACATATATATGTTACAAATACGCTCAGATTCATTCTCGAACCGCATAATAAGTTCCTCAGAAGAAAAGTTTAATCGTGTTGTCATTCAGTAGCCCACTCCAGAGCGCGGTTATCGTGCGTGTCTATAGTTGTTAAGCTGATATAGTCAGTATGAGCTATTTTTAACCTAAACTGTTCGATTTCGAAGCGAAAAGGCTGATTCTATCTTATAGAGTCTACCAACTCCAGGCCATCGATGTCAAATAAACAGAGGCGAAGAGCTGTATCCCATTTTTATGTGTGTTCGTTGTTTACAACTGGCAATAACAATAGTGCAACTGCAGCTTCATAAAATTACCATTTTCAAGACCTAGCTTATAAGGTTCCCGCTTTTTGCTTGTTATTCGATCAAGGAGCTCATCATCATGGATGAAGCTTTACTTCAATAATCCTCTTGATTTCCTTCTGGCATAAATATCTCATAATCAATTTATGGCACACGTTTCCGCAACCACTTTAGGCTTCTATAAGAATATGCACTTTGGGTACTCATTTATATGTAAAATCGAGCCTAACTTATCCACTTGCTGATGCGATTCTATACCCTACACTTTTGGGACGTGCAGATCTCCAGCAACATTTGAAGCTGATATCATTTTTGAAGCTGATCAGACTTTTGTCCGCTGTAAAGGTTTGGGTGATTCATCAGGCGTACACCCTAAAATAAAAAGTCCGCTTTCTATCAAAACCACTACATTCTCTTTCCTTGTATCCTCTTCCACTTCGGTCCCATTGGCATATCATCCCCAATTCTCTAGAAGGTGCATTTTTCTGGCGATTGTTTAGCTTCCACTCACAAATAAGACGGCACGTAGCGCGGGAGAAATGTACGCCCGAAAGTGAACGCAATCCGTCCACCAACTCCTTACCGAACTGGGAGTATTTCGGACAGGACTACCACAGATGCTCACTCTCCGTTACGCTGATTTACCTAAACTACGTAAATGAGTCACCAATACTCTTCTCAATGAATAAAATCTGATATCATTCTGTGACGATGTGTCAGTTCCATAGTGGCCAGATGTTAGTATGGCACAGCTATTTACAGAAAGTCAACGCAAACTGTTTGAAAGTTGTAGATTTGATAAATCTTGAAACTAGGAGTAAAAGTCTAATATACCTGGGGCAAAGAAGAAAGTATCCATTTACAGACATAAAAGGACCACGAATTTTCCACCTACCTGACGGTATTTCTTCCAACTGCACCACAAAGAACGACATCACGGTCTGACTTGCTGTCTAGAACGTTTTGGCGGTTCACCAATGGCACTGACGGATACCAGCGTCAATTAATTAGCAATAGTGAGGAATCACGTGCGACGTCCAAGTGCCTTATTGTGATGGACGGCAAGAGACCACAGTGGAACAACCGTCCACTAACCGGGAGGTCATGGTTCTGGTGAAAATCATTGCGGTTGTTTTTGCTTATCATAAATTCACTTGAATTTATGATTTTCAGAATGTATCCAATTCCATGTTGCTACCCAAAAGCGCTGACTCCCAGTACAGTATATTCATTGTAATGTGCTTACTGACAAATGTTTGCTTTCAGTGATACCAACATGTCAAAGTTTTGTCCGAATTGTTCGGTCAACGTTCAATATTAAACCTTGCTGGCAGTTGCACAAAAGTCGTGATGTTTACTGGGCTCTGGAACTTAACTGCTCAACCAGACTAAGCTGGACAGAAGGAATTTCATGTTACTTGCCGACCTCTCTTGACATGAAACATTTTAACTGAATCTGGAAATTTATGTGCTCACGTAAAATAGCAGCTTTGTGTCCGTGTAAGTCTGCGCCTGAGCAATCTGAGGCTTTCGACAAACACTTTTGTGGTAATACCATTGTAGTATAACAAAATATTCGACCAAGAAAATTAAATGCACGAAACTACAGTTGAATTAAGAAATGGGATAAGCGAAGCCAAAAAGCTTCGCTTAACTCACTTTCCAATGTAAGATGCCCCCATAGAAGCCTTACGCCTTTACTCGCGCTCGTGTTTTTCGTGATGAGAACCCTGCCGTTTTATAACCGCCGTTACAGTAATTGATAATATTACGTCAATTAAGTCCGTGTTTTATTGCATTATTATCTTCAACACGAGGCCTGTAAACGAGAGTTTTTTTTAACTCTGATCAGTTAATCACAGATGGCCTTGGTTGCTTTGCACCCATTTATGCTTGCTGGTGGGTTGAATCAGCATGTCACCACGCGGTCGTTCACCGGTGTTAGATTCTCCGCCACCGGCAAGTTATAACTGTAATCAAGTTGGCCTGACATAAAAAGGGTAGACAAACTGACTACATGTCGTTACACAGTGAATCCTCGAGAGACTCAGATGGACAACCAAACGGAGAACTAGGAGATAGAAGAGTACTTAAAAATCAGTCGTCGCCCTTAAACTCTAGCTCGGTGTATCACTAGCTGCTCATATGAGCCGTAAGTTGACACTAGTAACTATTATCTCCGACATCACGGTTGCTCGTTCGCTTCAGTACACCTGCCCGTCGTACACTGAGTTAAAGTTACCATTCACTACTGCGGAAATGACAGGTGCTGCACATCAATTGTCAATCGCGTTTAATGCGCAAACGAGGAGCCAGACGTTCAGGTTAAATTCTCTGTCACACGAAAGGAGGGTTGTTATCAAATGAGGAGCAAAGAACTGCTTCCAGTGGTGTAAGATAAACCTGATTCGCCTACTGAATTGATGGAAAAATCTGGCAGTTATGAAAATTGTCGTGTTAAAAATTTACCGACTGGATAAAAGCCAAACTTGTGGTGGTCTTCATCAGCTCTAGCCTATAAAATGTTTCTACTTCTTAAGTGATTGTATAATCTACTGAAAAAAGGTAATTTCCATCTTTCCTAGTTCTTATTTTGAGTATCACTCATGAAGATGATGAAAAGCAAGTCACATCTTACAATGTTTGATTGAATATTCATCCTTCGTCTTACTCAAGCTCAGTTGCCTTCCAGTGATCTCTTGATCATCCAGAATTAAGTGGAACGCGATTGTAGACAAGTTCACAGGGAAGTTATCAATTTTCTGAAAGTAAGTCACACACATGGCTTTAAGTTTGAACACTTTTCGTTCTCGAAAGAAAATGGCACTGAAATCGCTAAAGCAAACCTGGATATAAAAAGTTCAAATGTGCTTCCAGCATCTGAATTGATGAATTCGAGTTGCCATGAATTTGGTCAGTATTTTTCGTTGGATCGTGTGAACAACTCAAATGAGTCAGCCATATCGCCACACGATAATTTCGTGTGGAAATCTCATACCATCATCTATGGTACTTGACATATGGGATGGCAATGCTTGGCTTGCATTTGACTGGGTCCAAAGTAAATACCTATACACCCTTGAACTCGAGCTACGGAAGGTGAGCTTGTCCCAATTCATCCCAAGCGGTGCCACCTGAATCATCCTGGACAGTGAGTGAAAACAAGCACTTGGGGGCTAAATCTATCGTATCTCTCATGCACGAAATATATGTGGCGGAGGTTGCCCGTCTGCGTATCGTTTTGGTCCTTCATCATGAAACTGGACTTCTGGACGATATTCACAAAGTCTGTACATTGGGATCGAGGTTGTCTGCAAAACTCATTGTGTCCTGTTTGTTGCCGATGCCCAAATATGACCCAGAACAGGTAAGTTCGTACAGAAGAACGAAGAAGCAGTTGCAGAGATTCTGAGATGAAGAGGTTGAGAATTTCTCATGGATCGCACCTGGTTGAACCAAGGAAGATAAGCGGATATATGAGGACGATTCCTAGAAAACTAAAACGTTTACTTGGCATCTCAAGTCAGATCAAGATTGTGTAAAATCTGCAAACGTTTCCTTAAGGAAGTGTCATTGTGAATGTGTACTTCATCTGCTACAGCCATACTGAAAACTAGATTGCAGGATCGATAGACACATGTTTCTGATGAACGACGGTTCTTATCACTATGAAGTGTTCTGAGTTATCAATCAGTTAAACTCAGTCCCTGGTTAGTGAGAGGTGGCGTTTAGTGACACAATCCTCATGGCCGAACAGAATTCCGGAATGGTACACATAACTGTGGTATATCATGAGTTTTTGTGATAGGAAAACCCAATCTTTAGTTCCATCCGGGAGAGAAACAGCCAATTCATGGCAGATCGGAACATGCGATATTTTGCTTTTAGGTGGGACTACAGGAATGAAACTCGCATTACAATTAACGACAAAAGCAAACAGATATACTCACTAGGTTACGACTATAATCTGGTAATATATGCGTCATGGATTAGCCCCATCACATGAAAGTCTGACTATAAACTGGAAGATTCCTGTTCTGTTGGTGAGTTAAGCTTATTTAGCTGAGCGCTGAGA